CTCTCTCTCTCTCTCTCTCTCTCTGTATATATATATATATATAGTATATAGTGTGTGTGTGTGTGTGTGTGTGTGTGTGTGTGTGTGTGTGTGTGTGTGTGTGTGTGTGTGTGTGTGTGTGTGTGTGCGTGTGTGTGTATGTATATGTATGTGTATCCGCGGCTTTATCTCGGGATGCCCGCTGGCTACAGGCAGCGCAGCAGGCTACTAACCCCGGCCTCCGAGACCTTGGCATACATACGCAATGCCCTCCCTGGCATTTCACCTCTCACCAACACGTACATTGTAAGCAAGTCTCTTCTTTTGCAATGATGTCATCAAGCGTACGTTGACCCCCTATCTCTGCAAGAAAAGCAAGAACCGGATTGCGCCGTTGTCTGTGCTAATAGCGTATAGAGCGTGTCATTACTTGCCCGGCATTTCACCACTCGTAGCTAGCAAGTACAGGTGTGTATTCGTGTTTCTCTCTCGCAGGTATATATATGTATGTATATGCTTTGCTCGTCATGCGTACAGTATATGGGTGCTCTCACTTTCGATATCAACCGCTACGGAATTTCGCGAGGACGTTTCGTATTTAAGGAGTCACATTTTGCCTTCGGTGGCAGCTGGTGTCACCGTGGATCCATCTACGTGTGTGCTTGTGTGTGTGTGTAGAGAGATCCGCACATAGTGTTTGCTGACTACTCGTGGCTTAGTCATACGCCCGTGCAAAGGTCATAGCAGACCTGACTATATCTATATAAAGAGTACATAATAGGAGATTATATAATATGATCAGGCATGTGCACGTATAGTAGCGTCCGACTTTTGATTTCGATGTGTGTGTACCTTTGCGTAAAGGCGTGCAAACACCACAGTGCATGTGTACGTGTTTGTAATATGCTAGTTTAGCCGCCTCTCCGTTAATATTAATACGGTCATATACGATCGATCCACGCGTTATATTACACGTGTGTGTTGTACTATTTCGTGCGTCTTATCATAACCAGATTCCTAAAAGAACACGCGGCTATAAACGATAGGTGGAGCATAGACCTAGAACATACTACTGCTACTACTAATGCTGAGCTGACGAATCAACACGTGATATGCAGGCAGACGCAACGGCGTCAACAACTACCGGGGCGTCCCAAGAGAAGACCCTCGCTTCTGGGAAAAACCGAGATGCGATAGCGCGCGAAACCGCGACAGACGGTACCTTGGTGGCTTCTGTGAATGACCGAGATGCGATAGCGCGCGAGACTACAATAGACAGTGCGTCGGTGGCTTCTGGGAAGAACCGAGATGCGATAACGCAGGTGGCTGCTGCTGTTAGCGAGGTGTACACCGCTGCTGCTTCAAACTTGTGCTATAGTGACACAGAGACGGTTGCGCGTGGCTGCGACACCGACAGTGGAAGTTATCCACGATCCCCACGTGTTACCGTCCGCGTTAGCGACGGTCGTCGACGAACGCGACGACAGCCGACGACGTTTGTGTCGTCGGCGGATAGTTGCGGTGATGCCGACGTGGTGGTGACGTGCCGCGAGAGCGATCTTTCATGCGGAGCAGTGTTTCGCCGGGATGCCACAGATGGCGCCACGAGTGATGATGATGTGCGTGCGATGACTAGTGTGGAAGTTGAAGAGGGAATAACCGACATTACTACTGCTACTGTTGCTGCTACTACTACTGTTGCTGCTACTACTACTGCTTCTACTATTGCTATTGCTGCTGCAGAGCGAGAGAGCGGGAACAAAGCGGGGTGCGACGTTAGCAGAAACAACTCAGGCTTCGCTGACTGCACGAGTTCTACAGAGACGAACGACCCAACGGATTCTCACGAACGCACCCGTGAACGCACAAAAACGGATCATACGGATCACAGGCGTGAACGCACAAGAACGGTTCATACGGAACACACGCACGAACCCACGACGAAAACAGATCTTATGGAACATACGTCGGATCCAGCGAAAACGTTTGCCCGAGAACACGCACAGGAACCCAACAGGATCACTCGCCGGGTATGCTCGAACCCGGATCACGGGAGAACGCAGCATCCCGCGGAAGATGCTAGCGATCTGGCGACGATCCGGGAAAATCCGGATCCGACATTACCGGCGGACGGAGAAACGGCCGAGTGCGATCTGGCGACGATCCGGGAATATCCGGATCCGACATTGTCGGCGGACGGAGCGACGTCGACAGAGCTGATCGCAATCGACGTCGGCAAGCTGACGGCAGAAGAGGAGAGCCACCGCAACCACGCCCTCTGTATCCGCGCCATAGCCACCTGGCTGCGTACGATCGGCAACGAAATCGACTCGATGGGAGTGACGTCACCGGCGTCGCCGCAATACGGCGTTCCTAATTGGTGGGATAAGCACGGGAAGGGAATGAGGTGATCGTCGAACCGGTGCGTGGCGGCTACGCCTATTGTATCAAACAATCGCTAAAGAATTGAAAAACAATAACATAATATGTGCGTGTATATTATATATATACAGTATATGTATTTACAGTGATACGCACCAGCCACGCTACTATTTCTATTGTGACTATTAAGATTGTAGCTACGAGTACTGTATCAAAGAATCGCTAAAGAATTACAGGACAATAATAAGTGTGTATTAATATATATATATTTACAGTGATACGTGCAAGCTACCCTGCTATCTCTCTATTTTATGACTATTAAGATGGTAGCTGCTGTGCGTGTAATCTATGCATTGCGCGCAAGCCCAACATTTTGTAATAACTTCGATCTCTTTCTACATTTGATATTGATTATCGATTGACTAATACTGTTTATCTCCCGGTTGGCATGCGGAAAGTATTTAATGTGTATGGACACGATAGTATAAAAAATAAATATAGAAAATAAATAGTATTTAAATGTGTAATAGACACGATAGTATAGCCTCAAATCAGTAACGTCTTAGACTCAAAAACGCAATTGTGTATAGTTTTTATTTATTATTTTCACGAATTGAATGAAAAATTCATATAAACCCATAATCATAATTGTTATGGTAGTTAACTACAATGTAGTTTTATCATTTCTCATTAAAGAAAATTATGAAAAACTATAATATACGAATATAAAAATCCGTATTTCTATTTAGTATTATATCTTGACGCTTACCAAGTTCACAGTGAAGCTTTGGTCTTGTGTGGTGTGTTATATTTATTGATTTGTTTATGTAATTCCGCTCGATAGCTTTTATGTACTTAGTAGGAGTAGACACAACTACGGCATGGTTGTATACGAAAGGATGGGCTTGAGAATGAATTGTGTAAGATAAAATATAACGTTTTATTGAGAATTTACGTTATTTTATTTTAAACCTGAATTTGTTGTTATTCGCGTGCATGCATGCCAGTGTGTGTGTGTGTGTTTGTGCGTGTGCGTGTGTGCGTGTGTGCGTGTGTGCGTGTGTGCGTGTGTGCGTGTGTGTGCGTGTGTGTGTGCGTGCGTGCGTGAGTGCGTACGTGCGTGCGTGCATGTGCGTGCGTGCATGAGTGCGTGCGTCACGTCCATTTCTAGGAATGTAACTCAAATCGTTCGCGCCATATGATAGTTTAATTGTACACTTTCTTACCGCCCATAGCCGTGCGTATATTAGCCTATGTGCGATACCGCGCGTAGATATTTGCTAATTAATTAAACCACTCGCGCTTCAATAAACTCAAGAATCACAGAGATCATAGATAACACATGTGTTTATATGTATCTAGATTTCTAGAAACGTAACTCAACTCGTTCGCGCCATATGTTAGTTAGTACACTTTCCTACCGGCCATAGCCGCGTGTGAACAGCACTGTATGGATACGCGGTGAAATTAAGGAGGATGCCAGCCAATAAAAACAACAAGACCACATTACCGCGCCATCTAACGATGAACATTTTAGGAGCGACGAAAGCTTACCTCGTCGTAACTGTTATCATACATGTATATATGTGTACATCACAGGTTGTTTACTATATTATTATTAATCGTACGTGATGTAACTTGTCGCCGGATTGCATCCTATTTCCGCGCCGTGTAATATTTGCTATAGAATACTATAGAAAATAGATAAGCGGGAATATTATTATCAAATGTATAAGTAGTAGGAAAGGGAGAGAAAGAAAGAGAACCGGTTCGAACGAAAACAAGAAATGTCTACCAGGACATAATAGATACACATAGACACATGTCTTAGCTATAATCTCTGTGAATTTTGAGTTTATTGAAGCACGATTAGTCTAATTAATAACTACGGACCATTGTACAGCGTATTCATACAGCGCTGTCCTTAAGCGGCAGCGGTGTGGGTTCATTTGGAAACAATAATGGTTTCTAATTGCGAGTGAATTTTGCACAGGGGAGAGATAGTGATCCGCTAGGGGACGGCTCTGATTGGCTAATTTTGTCTCTTATTTATTTTATTTTTTATTATTTTTGGATAATTTTGTTTTATTTTAGAATTAGGGATAGGGTTAGGGTTAGGGTTAGGGTTAACTGATTTCTATATCCACAACTTATTTCTATAATTATTCACTATCTCTCCACTGAGACCTACTAATTGCGAGTTGTCGCAACTCTCTATAGTCTTGTCGTGTCAGTGTCGTAGACTCAAGTTGGAATTGTTGATTTCAGAAGAAAACAACAAGTAATGCCGATTGATTGGAACTAACCACTGAAATCAATTGAAAGCACCATTGAACAAAATTATATTTTCAATTTCTGAAGTTATTTAATCTGATCCTGTATGTGGTTTACTTCCTGAAACCGTAACAAGAGATTTCTCGTGGAGTCGTGGTATTGCCAAAATTACGAAATATGCCCCCCCCCCGAGTAATTTTCTCACACTACGTACATGTAGATATTCTTTATGACAGATATACCTCCACATAACTACTAGGAATTAAATCGAATTACATAAATGCCACATTATAGCGCTTCTTTTTAGTATTTATTGCGCAAGGAATAAGCCAGTTCGTAGTTATGCATTGAGCATGCGCGAGATTCTGGAATGAACTTTTTCTAAAGGTCAATTGTACATAAGCCGCTCGCTGTGTCTCCGTTGCGTGTGATAGCAAGTGGAACCGTACGTACTGTATTTGTCCAAGTTTGAAATAAAATCACATGTAACCAAGATTTCATTTGCCCAATATAGAATGTGTGTAAACTTCAATATATATTTATACATGTAGAACAAATACATATTATTTTTTCAATTTTGTTGTCTGTTACTTAGTTGATAAATGGAAAAATGCTTGGTTATAATTGATATCCTGTCTTTTAGGTATAGGTATAGGGATACATGTTTATAAAGGACCCATGGAATGATTTCAATACTAATTATGCCAATAACGCAAAGATGCATGTGTGAACAACTTTCGAGTTTACCTAGTAGCTATTTGTGCACATGAGAATTAAGACAATCTAAAACTATTTTGAGTCCATCATTTATTGAAAGGTTTCTTTAATATTTTGTATCTTCACCAAAGTTTCTGTAATTGTCATCATGGACATCTGACGTCTCCATCACCATTTTCTCATTGCATCATTTATACACATGCAGTTACATCTCATTCTCAATTATATACTTAATAAAGCAACAAACACTCAATAATTAAATAGCATTCATTAATAAACATAACATTGTTTGAATGCATACTATTTCAGTTATTAGTATTTTGATTACAATATATGTCCATACTATGCCAGCTAAAATAGCATTTATACATGAAACAGGAGTCATGCATATANATTCATAATTGCGCAATTAATTAAAAGAAAATAGTGAGGATAAAAATGCTTTCTATATTTAGGAGATTCCATATAGTATGTAGAATATGGAATAGCAATTGTCGCACCGCGTTACCTTTCATTATGTCGTTATGGAGTATAAATTTGTTTCTGAGTGTATTACTGATGTGAGCCCTGGATCACATCGCTTCTACCATTTTTTCGTCACCTGGGACGTATTTTCATAAACAAAATTCTACCAACCAGAGCACGCAAACACATAACAGACAGACTTAGTTTTTCTTTTTTCTTACGTGCAAGCGACCAGGCCTGCGCCCACAGCTAACGAGTATATATCAACGCAATCCAAATATCTCCGGTTTTTTTCAGTCCCGTCACCAATTCTTGTTTCAATAAGAGATAAAAAAAACTATTTTTTGCCACATGGCGGCGGCACTTATGCAGCGCTGTCGGTGGGCAATAGAATCTATTATCACGAACGTTTTTTTTTATCCCTTGTATAACCACACGGGAGCCGATTAGTTCGCGTGATGACCATCCCTAGTCCAAGTAAATAAAAAGCTCTAATGCAGGCTAATAATAGGCGAAAATACGCCATCTTGTTGACGAAAAAGAACAGAAATGCGTCACTTCGTATGTAAACAGTACAATGACGCGCACAGATTTTCTTTGTCTATTTTTAGACGTGTTTTCTTTCGCCTGCTCTCGTAATCTCCCCCCACGACCACCACATGCGCACTTTTTTACGGAGATTAAGCAATCTTGTTGATATTAGCCGCGTTCACACGGAGCAACAAATTCGGTGTTTAGCGTTCACATGAGGAAAAAATGAACGGTCCAACAAATACGGAAGCTAAATAGATTCGGTATTTGTTGAAATCCGCGGCTTCACGGATACCGAATTACTTCTCGTGCTTGAGAAATTCCGAATCTCTTAGACCGCTTATAGCCGCGTTCACACGTAAGGCAAGCCATTACATTTAAAAATCATTTCTAAAGAATTTAAACCTAAAATCCCAAATCAATTTACAATGAATTAAATCAATTTACAAAGTTTTAAATTATTTTACAAAAGTAACAATTTATTTATAGAAACACAAGTTATAGTTGCAATTTAATTAACATGTTACAAAATCAATTTACAAGATTCTAAATTAATTTATAACATTTCAAATCAATTTAAAAAATACCAAATCAAGTTATATTTCTACAAAATTTACAAATAACAAAGTCACAATTAATTCATGTATCTACAAACCAGTCTACTGGTTTGTAAATCATTCATAAAAGCTACAATTTATTTACATGCTTACGAATCAAATACAAGATTATAAATTTATTTGTAACATTTAAAATCAATTTACGAAAATACAAATTGAGTCACATATATTTAGAGGGTCATGCACCTACAAATAATTCATAAAAACTACAATTTGTTTACATGTTACGAATCAATTTACAAAAAATACATTTTATTTATATATATTCTGATCGATAAATCTACTTTAAATTAACTAACAACGTTTCTGTAAATGTAACACTTTCTACGTCAATTATTAAAATTACAATACATCTTACATACTGCAAACAGTTTTACTTACTTCGTAATCCATTAATATGTTTCATATCACATTACCTACCGCAAATAAATTTACAAAAGTCTGAATTTATTTACATAACAAAGAATCAGCTTATTTACTTCCAAACCAACTTACAGCTTTGCCAGTGATCTTACGTGCGCGCGAATAACTCCGCCTATGTGGTGAAAGTTCAAATCAATTTACCAACTTCCAAATTATGAAACTACGAATGATGAAACTTCGAATGAACAGAGCATCCCGCATCGGACGCGCCATCTAGCGTGTGTTGCTAAGCGTAAGTGGTTGTCAAATGGTGTCAAACAGTTTACCGTCCGTTGTACCGTAGAATTTGGATGCTCGCCCGAAACTGACGCTACTAAGTGCGCATCGCGCCAAGCCGTAGGATGTGTTTTGTTTTTTGAGCTTTTTTTCTTGGTTTTCTTTTCGTTGAATCTTGTTTTGCAGGGCGTAAAAGAATAGTAGCCATGCTCTTTTGTTTCTCTTTTGTTTCGCCCTTGTAAACTGACACACATAACACAGTTTTACTAACTTACTATACATATTGCAAATGGGTTAGCCGCCATTAGCTTTTGTCAGCAGTGCCCGCAGCGGGAGTTAGAGGTGTTACAACGAGATTGCGCAATCAACCGTGCATTGGAAGATACACGGAATCGACGAATAGCGATCGTATCGTCATAGGCGATATTACACCAGAGTTAAAATGCCTTAGTAAAGTATGGCAGCGATCACTTCAGAGAGGCTCGATTGATACTAGCACACTTTGAAGTAAGTGTAAATATCGAAAATAGCTTATAAACATTAGTTATTAGCTCATTTTTGCCTTTGAGGTTTGCAGTAGTTTTCTTGCCGTATTCCATGGCAGGTCTAGATTATAAAAACAACCATGACATCGTGGACGTGCACACGCACGCACCACGCACGCATGCCCACACGTGTACCTGCAACACCACGCACACACGCACGCACCGC